AAAATCGGTTTACTCATGGGCAGCAGCTCGAAGCCATTCTTTAGAGGTTATTCAGACCTGGAGATTTGCGCTGAAAGCCACGAGCAGCTGTGTAATATGAGATTTATCACCAACGCAAAAGCATCGTTCAAATGCTTTTTATAGGCAACAAACACCAGTTACGAACCACCACACAACATTCAAATTTACCTTACTCATATATTTGGGAACCCTGAAAATCATAGACGTTTGTTAGATCTTTGTTTCCATAACATTGTACTCACCAATAATATGCAGAAGTTCCACTGACGAAATGAAGGTGTAAACCTTTCTGAAACAGTGCAATTTCAGCACAATCGCAATTTATTAGGCTAACTGCGTACCTCAGGAATCCTTCGAGGAAAATGTTTTCAGATAAACAGAGCGTTAAGCTGCGCAATCGTGACGGAAAAGACTGCAAATCGGTGAAATCGTGGAGTTGCATTGCTGTTGAAGAAATCTATAAGAAATCTCTATATAATTGATTTTGTGGTACAGACGGCACTTTGTAGCGTTATTCATGGAAGAAAGTCTCAAAATAAAGTAATGTGGTGAAAATCCGGGCTCCACCAAAAGTTGGTCTCCATTAAAGAGTCAAGTTTCACTGATCACCTAAATCACCCGTGATTCCAATATGGGCGATGATGTTACTCCTTCTACCATATTTCAAATTAGAGCGGCGATAATTAGTGATGGTGGTACGGTAGAAAAACGAGAAGGTAGGGAAAAGTAAGCTTTATAAAAATGCGAGTATGCACGAAGTTTCGGACAAACATTTCTTCAAGCAATCTTGCAAATTACGTAGTCGATACTTACGAGGTTAGCAATTTTAGGTAAAGGTAAAGGTTTATGGTAACATACAGTCATAGTATTAATAACACCCAGTATTTAGCACATATGAAACTTTGTTTTTGCCCATAACTCGGGCATTGAAGAAGGTGACTCTAGATCATCAAGAATTATTCGTCGACGAGCTTACCTAATTGTATAAGTGATAGACACCTTAAACCCTCATTTCGCATTTCGGAGCCTAAACCACAAAAGGAGAGGAGTAGTGGCAAGTGCCCCCGCGCGCAAGCTGAGTCAAATTCTGGACACTACGTAGTCCATGCCTCTAGGGTCGGGAATCGGTACCGGATTTGTGTGAGCGATCAAAAGCGCTGACTTTCACATCAGCTTGACTTCGCAAACCATTGTGTACGACAAATTGAATTGAAAATGAACTCAAATTTCGAATAAAGGTAATGCGTGGCGCATCCCAAAAATTTCTGGATCAAAGCCAAATGTCTCGAATTTGGAACTACTAGCTTCCAGTAGCAATCTCGAAAGTAATTTGAGAGACTGAAATTCAGGCACATACTAACCCTTCTGGGAAATGAAGAGCATAACTTGGGATAACTCTCAAAGAAGTAAACACAACTGTTGAACAAGTTCACGCAATAAATATTGGACATTAAATAGGGGAAGTAGTTAGATCAAGTTAGAATGATATCATGGAACCTGGTTTGTGGCATTATAATGCAGAAATTCTGTGAAGCTACTTGAAGAGGAAACAGGAAGGATAACACCCTCAATCCGCCCGCTTTTTGGGATGACCCCGCATGTGCACTTCACTTCATTTCACGGAGGCCCTTCTCACTAAAAGTTTCTCTGTGATAGACTGGCGATATCCACACAATCTTCAATCGGCTCACGTCCCGCCAAAATCGCAAATGTCCTCTACGAGATGGCTAATAAGTGCCCGCGACTTCAACATCTCACGCTGGGTAAATTTGTTACTCTAATGATTTATTTCTTCGCTAGTGAGGCATGAAAGTGTAGCGGTAATCGACTCTGACNACTAGGTGCATGATCCGGAAGTGAAACTACAGATCGGATCCATCTTGGCCAGCCACGCTT